GATCCATCCACTCTGCCTCACTTTTCTTCATTGGATTAGACTCAGATGTTCAAAGTGGCTCACTCTACTCCTTTCTTACTCCTCATCTGCACTAGTCTATAAAATCAGATTGGTACAAATAAGACAATGATCAGCAACCAAGAAGGTTTTCTCATTGCTTGTACACTCATTGTAGTTTTTATATTAGTGTAGATAAGGAGAGAGAGAAATGGAAAGGATATAGGGGGTATAGGCCACTGTGGACTGTTGAAGAGCAGTTATTTGAACTATAGGGTACTGTGTCATTCCTCTTAAATGAATCCTGGCATACTGTCCCATATTGTACTTCAGTGGTAGATTTGAGTCATACACAACCTGCTCAGTCAAATCATACTCTGTTCAGTTACATTTCTGTGTTCAAATGGCTTGTCACTTCCAGAGAATCAATTTCCTGGTTTAGAAACAACTTCTATGTTCTCACATTTTCCCTAACTTCTTTAGTGTGGACCAAAAGGAGTCAGATGAGTAGAGAAGTTTCACGCTTACCTGTTCATTTGCTTTTTTTGGTCAATTAGCAGTCAAGGAGTTGCTAGGGAAAAGTGAGTTTTGAGAGTGATTTAAACCAGGGTACAATATGTCATAGGCTCCTGGAAGTAAACAAATGGCATTAATCTTACCACACTGTTCACTTCACACAAATCACATCTCAGTGCTTATGGTGCAAAATCATAGTGCCTTGACAGGTGTTTTGTCAAATGCTTATCTTATTTTCATGCTTTTTATGCTTTCTCATAACCAACTACAGTCTATTGAGTTTTTTGTTTTGTTTTGTATTTTTTATTAGGTGAAACAAGTCTAGAAATGGGTGTTTATGAATAAATGAACATTAGGTAAATCTAATTCTCTTTACCTCTGCTATCCTTCTCTCCTTTTTCTTTGCCTGTTTTTGTTTTGCAGAAAGCGATCCGTGTCACCACTTTCATGCAACGACTAAAGAATTCAGAAGCACTGACTGACAGTACAGCTGAAGTTCAGGGTGGTGAAAAGGCAGGAGATGGTGAAGTGAATGTGCCTCAGGGGACAAATCATGAGGTTAACAAAGATGGAGGGGTGACATCAAGTAGCATGTTTTTAGAGGTTAATGTTGAAAATGCACCATCAGGTATGGACTACAATGATGAAAGGAGTATGGTGGGAGAAAAGCATGATGAGGTGAAGATCAGCATAAGCCCATCTGTAGGAACTTCCCCATCAGATATTCTGGAGCCTCTCAGCCAATCAATTGCAGCCCCCAAACTTGCACAGGAGGAACCCAATAAGGTTGGTACAAAGAAAGCAACAAGTGATGGAACCAGAAAAATGGCTGGCAGTTTGGGTCAAGATAAAGTTGATCCAGAATCCAAAACATACCCTGTGGTGACACCTGCCCCCTTCAAGTTGTCAGATGGTTCTTCAGGCACTAATCTTGACAAAAAACACACATCCACCTCCCCTGATCCCAGCACCAAACGCAAGATGGCTGCAACGCTCCATGGCCCTCCAGCTACAGCCTCTGCTGCTACAACAGTCTCACCAGAGAAGAGACCAGCCACACAGAAGGAGCAGAAGGATGAGACTGATGCAAGCTGGTGTCAGACACAAGTACCTGAGGGAATGGCTGAGAGGTCAGTGGGAGTAGTAGTCACTCCAGCTATAGGGTCTGGAGCTGGAGTGGATGTAGGAGCAGGAGTCAGATTAAGGGGTAATGCTACCCCTGTGGGTAGAAGGGGCAGTGATACCAGGAGAACAGACAGATATAGTGCTGAGCTTAGCTTAGCCACGGCAGGTCCTGCAGCAGGACAGGGTTGTTATACAGTAGGCAGCTCTGCTAGTTTGGGGCGTCATGCTACATCATACAACCCAGAAGTTGAGACTGGAGCGATGGGGATGGCGGGGAGCTATGGGAGTTCATACAGCTCCCTGTATATGAGTGGAGGAGAGGTAGGGATGTATGGGACTGGGCTACAGCTTGGTGTAAGTGGGAGTAGCGCTACAAGCGACTGGCAAATGGACAGTGTGATAGAACAAATAGAAAAGCAAATGGCTGCCGTGCTGGAGAAGATTGAAGGAGACATGCCCTCACTGCTAGAGCAAATCAGTGACTGCCCTGTTGAATCACCACGTGCCCGGAGCACACACGTCTCACCTGCCACCTCCCGTGCACGCTCTTCACAACACTCCTCAACTGTAACATCAGTCACTCCTCCACCTCTTCCCACCTCTCCCAGGCCTGCACTGCCCTCACTCCCTCGCCTCACTATCCCTCCTCCCTCCTATCCTCCACCCTCCCCACCCACACAAGCCTCACTGAAGTCTGTGGGGAAGCAAGAAGACAGGGATGGACAGAGGGGTGCTGCTCATTCTAGCCAGTCGCCCAGAGCTGGGATGGGCACGGGGCTATGAAGCAGATGTAATGCCTAAACCAACACCTGAAGTTTAAACCTGAGAGTTTAATAACTCTGTCTTCTCTCCCACAAGTATCATCCATTTTCTCCCTAGCAGAAAAGTAAACATACAGTGTTGTTTGGTTTGGCAGTGTATTCATACTGAGATAATTGGCATTCAAATACACTCATGACTGGGGTCTAGGAGGAGTAGAGTACTGCATCCCAGTGTAGCCCGACAGCTTGCAAAGATCAAGATTTTTTGCATCTGAAATCCAAATTGTGTATATGAATACTCAGCACACAAACACCTAATACTGGAATCCAAGCACTCAGCAGTTTACAAATTATGAATCTATACAAGTAAAAACAAACTGTACAGTTTGTAAACTGCACATACTGTAAATACACATGGAAAAAAAAGAAAAACAGGTTTACTATATTGCTCTAATCCCATGTTGTGAACTTCCGCACATCCAAACCGGTGATTTACTTATTTCAGATCAGTTCCTCCCATTTCATTATTTTTGTTCCTTATTTATTTATGTAGCTGTAAGGCTGCAGCTTGCAGTCACACAGTTGTACAGAGGTATGTGAAAGTGAACTGATAAAGCCTTTCTACTGGATGCTGGAGATTTTGATTTGTTTTATTATACATTGTGTTTAAACTTTAGCTGTCACCCAAAGTATTGGAAATTGCTCCGCACCTAGAGCTCGGTAATCTTTAGATGCACAATATTGTATAAAGGCTTTGCGATCACACACACATTACACACACACACACACACACACACAGACTTGTGGTCATCACTTACAGGGTCCGTACATAGACGTACATTCCTTTCCAGGGGCCTTACCTTAACCTTAACCAGAACCACTACTTGTCTAACATTAACATCAACATTAATCTTAACCAAAGCTGACACTTGCTCTGACCCCATAATTTTTGTAACATTCGATTAACTATCTGTGTGGCCCAGCCTCTGGGCCCTGCAAGTAGATTGTTGATCCCCATGAACATAGTAACTCCTGGATTTTGGGCCCTACAGATACATAAAAACAAGAAAACAAGCACACACATACTCACACATTTCCTCTTATTCTCCAAAAATCTTGCCCAGAAGGTTTGTATTCCTTTTTCTTTAGTTTTGTTGAAGCACATTCATTTAGTAATGTTAGCTGGACAGTGTTGTTTATATTTGCTCATATTTATCATACCCCCCCAAAAAATGATCTTTCTGAATTTCATTCTGCTTTTCTACAGTATGTAGTACCAGGTTCTGTGCTTTTTTTTCTCCCGACAAGCCTTGACATCCACTTCTCTATGTAGGTTACTCTGTGCATTGTTGGCAAGTCTTAAATAAATAAAATAAAATAGATATTGAGTTGTTTCATTGGTTGAAAGTTTTTAAACCTGAGATGATAGCACTTTAAAAACTGTTTCCTCTTGGAATTAGCTATGCTTTTTAGTGCTAACACGGAAAGAACCGTTATCCAGCAATTTCCCGTGGAGGCATTTTCACGCCATGCCTACAAGGTCCATCTGGCCTTGCGTGAACTTCGGATTAGTCTATATTTGGGAAGGCACGGGGGTGAAAAAAAATCATCATGGTTGTAGACTGTTATCATACGATGAAACCACACAGTGGCGTTCATTTCCACGTGTTTTGGAATGTAAATGATGTGTTTGGGCACTAAAGGTGAATAAAAGAATCCACTTCAGATAAATCAATCCGATTACATTTTCCGTGAACCCTCTGTACCGGATCGATGGTTGTGTCTGTAACGTGCACATGTTGCTGCTTTGCTTTTCTTTCAACTGAAATAGAGTGAGGGGAAACGGTTCGGGAGCAGCCGTCAAGTGGAAAAACTCACACAGAGCCCGCCACCCCTGACACATTTTTATGTTTGCAGTCAACGGCACAGTTGACTTGTCACGTTGTTTATTGGGTTTCTTGCTTAAATACAAGCCGATTTTAATACTACAGATAAGGCCGAGTAATATCGGATGTGGTAAGTTCTACACACTTGTGTAAGCTCTCGCCTTGGTAATGTTAGCCTGAGCTAGTTGGCTAACATTAGCTAGTTAGCGGCGCCAGAAGGAACAAATCGCTGGGTGGCTAGATAGCTTGAAAGCTAGCTGAACACAGGCTAACAACTACGCAGTCGTTGGTAGTCGATAACGTTAGTCGCCGTATCTTATCTGAACCGTTTCACCTCTGCGGCGCGGCTACCGGTACCTAACGATCCACAGTCACGTAACTGTTAATGTTAAATTAGCATTTGCACATTCTGTATGCACGATAGTGCTGTGTTAATGTTCTGTGGTAAACGTTAACGGTAGCTGAAAGGCTAGTTCGCTACAAACATGAGATGGACACTGGCTAACTTGCACCCCCAGCCCAGTAACTGTTGGCATTATTTCATCTCGATAGATCCATTTTGTTAGATTAACGTCAGAATAGCATGTCAGTCGGTGTTTACCACTGTAATGTCATTGGTTGTTGTCTAATTCGTTGTCCTTTTAACCTGGCATCAGTGATATTTATATGTTACAGCTCCGATAAAATAATGGAAATTGGTGTTTTAATCCTTTGGCAATACAAAGATGAGAATGGGGACCCCCTCGACATGTGTACCCGAGACCAATAACGTTACTCCTCCTCTGCAAGGAATGCTCACCCCTAACCTCAATGTGTCTAGGGCCTCAGACGCTCAGCATCACAGCAGCTAGCAGTAGCGTAACGTTACTCAATCTTCTCGGCCTGTCTCGGTTGTCACTGCAGCACCATCAGACTTGAGTGGTGCTGTTTTACTTTTCTCAAGAAAAAGACAGTGTCTTCAAGCCACAATACCTCATTTGGCGCTACAGTGAGACTATAACTTATGTAGTTAACGTTACACCCGAAAATGTGTTATTTTCTTTGATATTGCATTTTAGCACATGTGGTGTAAAAGCTTTGTATATGCAGTCTGCGAGTGAGAGTTCTCGCTAACCTGTCAACGAAATAAAGACGCTGTTATTGATTGATTTCATCCAGCACCGGTAGACGGTTCTTTGACTTTGAATAGATGGCAGAAGAGTCAGTCTTCTTAACTTTGCTTTGGTGCACTTGTGTCAGACATGCTCTGTGTGCGTATGTAAAAGTATTGCAAGGTGTTACTGACATGGACTGTTAGAAGTTCTGCAGTTATAGTACAACAATATACATGGTATGCATCTTCTGCTAGCAGGGGCGGGATGAGTGTGTGTTAGCTTCGGCGTCTTAGCCAATGAGCTGAGCGCCTGACCAGGTAGCGTGCTCACGGCCATCCTTTCCTGTTGAATATTTCAGCCCGTGCGTCACGGCGCATCCACCCCTTTCTCCCCATCTGCCATTTTGGTTTTGTTCCCGTCTGCAGTCGCAAAGCCAGCAACGCAATTACATAGGAGAGACTCTCAGCACAACGACATAGTGACTCGACAATATAGTGCAGACCAGCCTAAACCCGTTTACCGCTTTTTGTCCTTTGTACAACCAGTCGCATTTACAGTCGTCGTTATTATTGGCATCTAGACATTGCGGGAGAGGAGCGGGTTCGCACTGGGAAGGGACCGAGAAGGTTTATTGGTAAGAAAAGCGAAATCAATGGAGCACGAGTGTGATGGCTAGTCTTTCATTCGTAAACATGGTTATATAGGACGGCAAAGTTGGGTGGTGTTTTTTTGTTAGGCGCTGAAACATTAAACAGTATCAACAAAGAAACTGGTAACTAGCTGTCAAACCGCTTCGCTATATTTTGAGCTGCTGCTAGCTTGTAAAGTTGTGTTCCGCACTGGGGGTAATGTAGGCCTAGGCCAAGCTGCTAATGGATAGGCTGGCAGACTGGTATTTTCTAGCCTCTTTAAGTTATTAATGTGCTGTCTACTTGCCAAATCACTGAAAACACTAATCACTGATTAGTGGCACGCAACCTGCTTAACCCTTGGTGGTGTTAAAATGACTTGCCATTTGAGGCATCATCTTAAGTCGTCAGCGGTGATAAAAATGATTTATCATCAGCTATGTATTAGGTTGAGTAGGAACTAGCAATAACAGTGCTAAGGAAAAGGGAGGTAGCTTTGCTATATCATGCCGGATACCTTCATTTTCATTTTTAGCGAACAGAGACTGCTCACTTGACAGTAACATTAAATTGTTAATGTTATTCTTGCTGGTTTAGCGGCATTTGTTTGTTCGGCTCAAGTCTTTATCATATGAAGTCGCTGAAAGGTTTCTAAACGGTTAAGTTTGACTCGAGGAAGGCACGTAAGTTAGCTGCATTGGATGCGGAAATTATGGCCGTGTGTTTGCCGTATGGTGGGAATGTGTTCGAGATACTGCGGCCTGTTTCACTTCCCGAAGTGACCACTTTGTCCAGATAATTCACAATGTACTTCGATGCTGTTGTTATTTCTACAATTATATTATCACCACTAAACGAGTATTTTAACTATCTAAACTGCGAGCGTAGGTCGTCAGCAGAGTGCCCACACCTGTGAGACAGTGTGAGGTGTTGCTCACTTTACCGCAGTGAAGTTTTAATGATTCAGCTCTTTTGTTGAAACAATGTTGGCTGTCCTTAAATACCGGTATAATACACAATAGAGGTTCATAAACAAGCCAGCACTGTTTCTGAGCATGAAAAGCACTGATAATGCTGCTATTCATTTCTCTTCCGGGCTCAGTTCGTTTTCGAGCAGAAATGTGTTTGGCCTACAGCCAGCCCAGCTGCTGCCTTGACTAGAAATCCTCTCTTTAATGTGAAGGGGATTGGGTAGCAGGTAGCATCCTAATACAACCATAGCAATGAATTGTGTATTTATCATTTAACTATCTGAATTTTATTATTGCATTTTTTTAAAAACACTATTAAATACATTTATGGGGACATTAGACTACCTTTGACTACTTGAGTGTTGAAGCCATCAAGTTTAAATTTTACCAATTATCAATTGTTAATGATCTTGTATTAAATTAGTAATGGAGACATGTAGTGACAGTATAGGTCAGCTTGTTGTTGTACCTCAAATGGACTGTGGGTGTTGTTAATGGTGTTGGTTGATGCACAGATGTCCAGCTCGCCGCTGTCCAAGAAGCGTCGCTTGTCAGGAACAGAGACGAAGACAGGATCCCACTGCTCCTCCTCTAACTCTGTCAGAACTGATCTGTCCCACACACCTGCCAACGTAAGTGTAAACACACAAATTATTTGAGTGTAAGCTGTAACATAAACTGAATGCACCTCCTGTTGTCTGTCCCAAGGGCATGGCAAAGAATGGCAGTGATGCAGAGATTGATGAAGGCCTGTACTCCAGACAACTGTAAGTTGTCTTTGAAGAATTTTTGTCCTCCTCAAGGAAAACTGGCAGATTTTGCATGTTTATTGCACCGGTGCTGATGGTACTTTGATTCCTTCTGTAGTTATGTTTTGGGCCATGATGCTATGAAGCGCATGCAGAACTCCAATGTCCTCATCTCTGGTATGAGAGGTCTTGGAGTAGAGATTGCCAAGAACGTCATCCTGGGAGGAGTTAGAAGTGTCACTGTACATGACCATGGAGTTGCAGAATGGAGAGACCTCTCCTCTCAGGTGTGTGGAAGGATGTACAGATATTCACATTTTACATTAGTGAAGTGATTTTTTTTTCTTTTTTTCATATTCAGTCATACACACATCAGTTCACTCAGTCAGTGTACTTTATTTGTGGTTCATCTGTCTTTGAGCCTGATTCTTACGTGTGGTATGGCATCATGTGTTATGAGCAGGCCCAAACAAGTTTTTTTTTGTTTGTTTGTCTGTTTATCGGCAGTTATTCAGGATGGAAATCTGCAGAGTATTGCAGAATGAGTGATTGGTTTATTTATCTTTTGCTTGTAATGTAAAAACATTTTTGAAGCAAAATTAAGCAGAAAATACATTAAAAGCAACTAACATCTTGAGCAAGGTGAAATATCTCTGAAATTTTAAATTTGAGAATATTTTATTTCGTTGCAATTTCAAGACACTCAAAAGTGTGAATATTTGTTGGAAATTCCATCAGCATAAATTTAAGGATACATGACCACTGCAGTATAAAGTTCAGTTGCTTTAGATGCAGGCAACTGACCAATCACCGCATAAAAAAGGAGGGGGTGAGGGGAGTTGGGAGAACACTGCACATTTTCAGACATTCTCATTAGGAAACCTATCTTTGTAAACATACATTAACCTGGGTTGGCATGAGAATGTGTAAGGAATGAAAAAGAAGCACTAGACAGATGTGCAACTAGTCAGTCAAGGTGTGAAGTAGATTTGAATGTCAGATCCTTGGCTTGGAAAATGACTTGCATTCACAACATCACATAACTGCACATGCAAACATGCTTACAATCTGAGTTTCCGCTTTCTGTTCAAAATCTGCGGTGGTGTCATCGGAATTCTGTGGGCGCAGTTTCCAATTGGGCTTGGGTGTGAGTCTCTTGCTGTATTGTATGGTTGCAATCTAGAAAGAGTACTGTGGTCAACCCCACCCTTGTTAACCACCAGGTGACCCAGATTAATCAGTGTGTGGCCACTCCCTAGGTTATAGTCATAGTAGAGCTAAAGCTTGTCTCAGGACATTTCTGTAGTGATGAGATTGTTTTGGTTTGTCAGCCTCAGACCTTGAATAATCTTTAGTGTCTGTTTCAGGTCCAGTAGATTAATGTGTAAATAGTCTTTTTCCTCTATTTCTCTCTCAGATTATACATCTAAGCTGTAACTGACCATCCAGCCTGAATTTCACTTCTGTTTCAGCCACTGGCATTTGCCTCAGTATCATCCTGTTTGCTTTTATTATCTTTGTTGTTGTGTCTAGAACTAGACTGGAGTCCACCTGTATCATATTGAATTGATTGGACGCAGTTTAGAAAAGCACATGTGTATAAGGTCCCATATTTCACACTGTATGTCAGGACAAAAAGTTATTCAGCATAGACCAGGGCAAGGCTATACAACATCGCAGACTGGCCTCAATAATTGTGAAATGGAAGAAGTGTGAAACCATCAGGTTTCTTCTAGAGCTGGTCATCCAGCCAAGCTACAGTAACTGGGCAGAACTCTAAACACTGAACGCCAAGCATTGCTCATCGCCTGACTAGTACAACCCTCTGAAGTGTGGTGGTGGTAGCATCATGCTATGGGGGTGCTTCTCAGTAGTAGGGACAAGGAGTCTGGTCAGAAGTGAGGGAAGAATGAAAGCAGCCAAATACAGAGAGGACAAGAAGAAAATGTTCATCACAGTGCATGAGATTGAGGTGACTGTGGAGTGGATTCAAAACGAGCCTTCTGACTGAGGCTTGAGTAGCCCAGCCTAAAGTTTTAAAAAGTTTTCACTGTCAATGTTGGCCTATTGATTGTAGAGTGAATTTTTTAAAATCATTTTAAAATTAAATCCATCCTTTATATCCCTCTTACTTTTTTTAATCAACCATTTAATTTGTCCTCATTCTGAATGTTTTTTTGGTGAAACATTTTCAAGCTGCATGAACTTCATAGTGTCTGTCCGTTGTCCTAAACTGTTGCATAATTTTGCATAGACATTATGTGTACTGCATCAAAACTGTGACGAAGTCAACTGCCACCTTCAGCATTAAGTGCTCACTTTGAATGTCAGTACAGGTAGTTGCTAACAGATTTTTAGTTGATAGAAGTCTTTCACTTGTACACATCATTTGCAGATTTTTGCCCTTCTATGAGCATTGTGATGTCTCTTCTCCTCTATTGCCATATGTGGTACTCATTTGGCAGTTATTGCTTCACTAACTTGGTATAAGTTCATCAGTTTATCAAATATATATTTTTGTGTGGTCAGTTTTACCTGCGGGAGGAGGACCTGGGGAAGAACAGGGCAGAGGTAAGCCAGCCCCGTTTGGCTGAGCTCAACAACTATGTTCCAGTGACTGCCTACACCGGCACTCTTAGTGAAGACTACTTGACCCAGTTCCAGGTACAACTTAAATAAAAGCTACCTCTTTAGTTATTTCAGCTTTGAGAAAGGAAAGAAAACTTATTGTCTTATCTGTCTCACTTTGCAACCTAGGTGGTAGTACTGACAAACTCTGCTCTGGACGAGCAGCAGCGTGTGGGGGATTTCTGCCACAGCAAAGGAATCAAGCTGATCATTGCCGACACACGTGGTCTGTTTGGGTAAGGCGTCGAGTCTTGTTGGTCTTATCCACTTGTCTGTCAGTGTCCAGTATTTATGTGTTTTGTGTTCTCCTTTCTCAGCCAGCTTTTCTGTGACTTTGGTGAAGAGATGATAGTGTTCGACACCAATGGAGAGCAGCCACTGAGTGCCATGATTTCCATGATCACCAAGGTTAGTCCTTATGTGTGGCCCAAAATGTTTTTCAAAGCAATTGCTGTTTTGTAGATTAAGGCAAAAATTTGACATACATTGTAATAAATGTTGCTCATTCTTTGTTTCTCCAGGACAACCCAGGGGTTGTGACATGCCTGGATGAGGCTCGTCATGGTTTTGAGAGTGGAGATTATGTCACCTTCACAGAGGTTCAGGGTATGACAGAGCTCAATGGCTGCCATCCAGTGGAAATCAAAGTTCTAGGTAAGATCCTTTTTCATTTAAAAAAAAAAAGGACATGTTTTGGCTAGTCTGGTTCTGACTATTAGAAATTTACACAGTGTGCTCTCACTGTCCAGGTCCCTACACCTTCAGCATCTGTGACACAACTGGATTTACAGATTATGTAAGAGGAGGAATTGTCTCCCAGGTCAAGATGCCCAAAAAGGTCCAATTTGTAAGTGGCTGACAGTTTCTGCATCAAGTAATGTCATGGTGACAGACTTTTGGAGGGTGACCGTTTATTTTTGTTTTTCCCCATTGTTGTTGATCAGCGAAACATCCAATGTCATCACAATACAGATGCCCCTTCATTATCTGCTGTTACCAGTGGAAAATGTCATGTGGACTCCGGTTCTTTCTTCACTTTCTTGCATCCTTCTTGTGCAGAAATCCATCTCTTCCTCCATAGCTGAGCCAGAGTTCTTGATGACAGACTTTGCTAAGTTTGAGCGTCCAGTGCAGCTGCATGTGGGCTTCCAGGCTATCCATGCCTTCCAGAAGAAACACAGCCACCTCCCTGCACCTTGGAATCAGGTATGTATTAAATATGATAGAAGTGCATGGGAATATCTTGGTGCCAGTATACTTTTATTGGTAACGATAAAGCCCACCTCTTGCTTCTTTTTTTTTTTTTGTGGCAATGTCTTTTTGTCTTAATTAACTTTGTTAAACTTACATGGTGTCAGTAATAAACCTGTTTCAGTGTGGTCCTTCTGAATGAAATGAGTCATTACATACAGAAACGAAACCCAGTGTAGAATCTCTATGAATGATTCTAGCAGAATTTATCAATTAGTACAAGTTGTAGTGTTTCATGTAATGTTTTGTAAACTGTTCAACATGCTGAGCTGTGTTTATTCCAGGCTGATGGGGATGAGCTATTAGAATTGGCCAAGGAGATTAACTCTGCCCAGACGGGGTCTGCCAGGGCGGAGCAGTTGGATGAAGCGCTTATCAAAAAGATGTCATTTGTTGCTGCTGGTGATCTGGCGCCTCTCAATGCCTTCTTTGGGGGTCTGGCTGCACAAGAAGTGATGAAGGTCGGTGGCATGCTGTGTGCATATCGAAATTGACAGTGCAGTCCTACAGTGTGTGTGCTATAGTGATTTATTTTCAATGTTTCACTCATCTTTTGGGTAAAAAAATAGGTTATCAGTTTTTGTGTGGTTTTACTCTTTCTGTGACATGTTTGAACATGTGTTGCCCTAACCTGTCCAACCCCAAAACAGAAATATTTGTCACAAATACATTTTTATTGTTATTTTTCTTAGGCATGCACAGGAAAATTTATGCCAATAATGCAGTGGCTGTACTTTGATGCCCTGGAGTGCTTGTCTGAAGAGGAAGGGTTCATGCTCACAGAAGAAGAATGTGCCCCTGTAGGTGTTCAGAAGAAAGCCCACACACTGATACTGAAGACAGATACACTTGAGGATGGCAAACAATAACATTAAACCTGTTTTTCTCCCAGAGGAACTGTCGATATGATGGTCAGATTGCAGTGTTTGGCTCCAAGCTGCAGGATATTCTTGCGAAACAGCGCTACTTCCTGGTGAGCTGGCCAATTGAAAACTTTACTCGGGCATCCTGTTGCTAAGGGGGATTCACAGATCAGGCTGGTGATGTTTTGTATCTTTCTTACTGTAAGTGAAGATCAATCTTGATCCTCAAACCTAAGGATTGCCTGTGTTGTTGGAACTCGTAACTTGTTTATCTGCCCCATAAAAATCCATTGTTGTCTAATGAAATGACATTGAGCCACCGTGTTGGCTGACGTTTCTTCACGAGCGCTGTCATTAATTCCGAATTCATCCTACAAATACACACTGACGCTTCATATCCACAGAATAAAAATTGTCCCCAATAAATGCGCAATTTACTCTTGCTTTGTTTACTTAAAAAAAGAAATATACAGCACATCCACCAACTACACATATTGTAGTTGGTGGATGTATCAGCGTGTGGGGGCTTGTGTGTAGCTATCTATGGTTGAAAAATATATATTTTTTTTTTAAATGACCTTTTAAAAAAGATTTGTTTAAAATATTGACAGCTGACCTGAAACTGAGACTCAAATGTTTAGGAAGACCAACACATTTTCAAAGACCAAGGATTTTTGGTCTTTGTCATTTGTTCACAATAAGGATAATAAAATATTATGACCCTATTTCTTTACAGTTTCTTTCAGCTTGTGCCTCCATTTTGTCTATTCTGTAACGAAGTAATAGTCAAGACAAAGTCCATAGTTGGATTTATCTACAGAGCAATGTATATTGATGGTGTTTAATAGTGTCTTAACCTGGAAGAACACATCATCTATGGCTTAACTCACCAAGAGACCTTCAATCACTCCAGGTTGGAGCCGGTGCCATTGGCTGCGAGCTATTGAAAAACTTTGCCATGATTGGGCTGGCAGCTGGGAAGGGTGAGGTCATTGTGACAGACATGGACACCATAGAGAAGTCCAACCTCAACAGACAGTTCCTCTTCAGACCCTCAGATGTCACGGTTAGTGTCACCATGTTTGCTCAGATCTGTCTTCATGAATGGGAAGTAACTAGTTCATGCACATTTGCCATTAATTGACTGAATTAGATTTTTCCAAGCTACTGCGTATGGATTTCCTGTTCACTAACTGCCCCAGAGTGCACTTAATCTAACTGCTGCTGATGGATGATGTAATGGTACATCATTAGATGGAGGATAATGGGATGCCTGAGGTCTTACCGGTTCATTCTGAGTGTATTGGTTCTTCATGTGTTTATAAATGAAATGTAGTGACCATCCCAAGTACAGATTGGTATTGAAATGGTATTACTGAGACATTATTTGTATATTCAGTCGTAACATTGTGCTAATTGTGGTACGTGCTATAAACCAGGAGTTCTGAAGTGCATTGTGCTAATTGTGGTTGAAGAAATTTAGAGCTGAAAGACGTGCTATAAACCAGGAGTTCTGAAGTCTTTCAGTGTCGCTCATTACAAAAAACCACACATGGACAACAGTTGGTTTTATATAGATGATACACTCCTTACTGATTTACATGACTCGTTTTTGTATTCCTTTGGTCAGTTGCAGTGCTGGTGTTGGTATTTGATCAGAAAGTGAAAATGTGACTAGTTACATGTGTTTGTTCTATGTGACAACAGAAAATGAAGAGTGACACAGCAGCAGCAGCAGTGAAACAGATGAATCCCTCCATCAGGATCACAGGTCACCAAAATAGAGTGGGTCCTGACACAGAGAGGATCTATGACGACGACTTCTTTGAAAGCCTTGATGGAGTGGCCAATGCACTGGACAATGTTGACGCACGTAAGATGCACTGAAATTTCAATGCTTTTAAATCTTCTTACAAACAGAGCATTGAGATTTGGGCTCTTGATGTTTTTAAAACTATGCTATTTTTTTCTCTCTCTCTCTTCTCCCTTTGAACCCATGCCCTGTGTCTTGTGTTTTTGTCCATTGTGCAGGTATGTATATGGATCGGAGGTGTGTGTATTATTGTAAACCTTTACTGGAGTCTGGTACTTTGGGTACCAAAGGCAATGTCCAGGTCGTGATCCCCTTCCTCACAGAGTCATACAGCTCTAGCCAAGATCCACCTGAGAAGTCCATCCCCATCTGTACCCTCAAGAACTTCCCAAATGCCATTGAACACACACTGCAGGTTAGTAGATGCACTCATAGTAGCTAAACACAGAGGGGCTGAGTAAATTAAATTTAAAGTAATAATGAAGTTAAAATCATGTTGGGTAACACATAGACTGTAAATTAATATGCCACCACTTCCTTCCACTGTGCAAAATTGCAGCCAAGATATTGTGAATATGGCAGACGTGTACTTGGCATTTTGCAACCATATTCTGCACAGTAGTGACTGAGTAGCTGAGTGATTTATCAGGCCACCAATCAAAGCTGTCAAATACACCCCTTGTAATATCAAACAACTTATTAAAAGCAAACTTACCAGGAGAATGACCACTTGTACACAGACCAGTGTGACAGCGATTGATCAGAAATCACAAATCACCTTTGGTGTAAAATTTAATAAGTACTTTGGGTTTTTATTTTGTCTCATTTCATCTGCTAACATGGAGGATGACAGAATTTGACCTATACTGCAGTTGGCCACAAGGGGGCAGACTGCATCAAATCATGGTGGCTTCACTTCTGGGAGCTGTGGCTTATTTTTTTTTTTTTTTGTAATCAATGTTTATTTTTTATGTAATCAGCCCCAGCAAATTCCTCTACTCCACTCTAATTATTGATCTGTCAATGTTTTCTGTGTTCAGTGGGCCCGTGATGAGTTTGAAGGACTATTCAAACAGCCACCAGAGAACGCCATGCAGTACCTCACGTGAGTTGCCTTCCTTGTCAGTTGAACGTGACCATATAGCATCACTGTGGTTTCCTATGTGTATGTGTTTTCATCATCATGAGATGTGTTAAAATTGGCAAATTTACTTTTGATTGCATTACTACGGCCAGTGTGATAAACCTGTTTTGACATTCACAGTCAGAGCTGATAAGACTGAATCTTTGAAACTGCTGAGCTTGTGCAACTCTTAAACTGACTGTAGTGGATGAACAGCAAATCTTTGTCACCAGCTTGAGGTTTTTGTTTGTTCTTGCAGAGATCCAAAGTTCATGGAGCGTACTCTCAAACTCCCTGGAGCTCAACCAGTCGAGGTGCTGGAGGCTGTTTACAAGAGTCTGGTAACAGATTGCCCCCACAGCTGGGTCGACTGTGTAGCCTGGGCACGCAACCACTGGCAGTGCCAGTACAATAACAACATCCGCCAGCTACTGCACAACTTCCCCCCGGATCAGGTACACACACTGAGCTCACTGCATAAAAAAAAAATCAGACATCTTGCACTGTTTGCTGTCTGGTCTGGTTCCCTCATTATTTGTATAGAATCTAAACGTGGTTCTCCTTTTTGTTTTTATAGTGTTTTCAATTATAATTCATCAAAATTTTATTTGCACATTACTTCTTGCTAAGTGTTCAGTCTGTTTCCACCCCACTGTGTGGGAGTGACTGAGGTGTAGTAAGCAAAGCCAAAGCACTGTTCAGTATATAAGTAGATGCTGGACAGAGAAGTTTGGATTTATGTCTGCTGCTCTTTGATTCAGCATCAACAAAATTGCACTCATTCCTCAAAAGTACTGAGTTGAACTTAGTACTGCATTAATCACACCCTGTTAGAACATCCTGGCCTGCTACATATCACTATATAGAATTCTAGACTAAAGGATGTTGTAAAATGTTGATTTTCATTCTGTCCCAGCTCACCAGCTCTGGTGCCCCCTTCTGGTCTGGCCCAAAGAGGTGTCCTCACCCCCTAGAATTCAGCACTGCCAATGTGAGTATGCATTCATTATGTGCTAAGTGCAGCTACTTGCTCCTAACTGCTCTAGCCAGTTGAGGTAATGACTGAACTGCTTCCTTTTGTAGGAGCTGCATATGGACTATGTAATGGCAGGAGCCAACCTGTTTGCTCAGACATATGGCTTGCAAGGGAGCAGTGATCGTGTAGGTCTGGTTAAGATTTTGCAGGAGGTCGAGGTGCCACCCTTTACCCCTCGCTCAGGGGTTAAAATCCACGTATCTGATCAGGAGCTGCAGAATAGCAATTCTTCTTTTGGTAAGACACAAATCTATGTGCATGTACAATAAAGCAGTCAAGGTCATGTAATCTGTTTTTGTAGATGTTACATTTTAAACTTCTGGCTTGTGATAGTATGGGGTTATTATAGATGCTATTAGAAAAATGTAACCATTGATTTCTTGGTATATAGATGACTCCAGACTGGTGGAGCTGAAGGCCCTGCTGCCTTCACCTGAGACTTCTCAGGTCAAACTCAGCCCCATTGACTTTGAGAAGGTACACCATTTTTCCTACTGTAAATATACATGTATCTACATTTCTCTCTAAATGTCCATGCTGTTGGTTTCTTCTGAATACAATGTACACTGATGGTGGTGAACTCCGTTAATAGGATGATGACACCAACTTCCACATGGACTTCATTGTGGCAGCATCCAACCTTAGAGCAGAGAACTATGACATTCCCCCCGCAGACAGACACAAGGTGGGATAAGCATGTTTGGTATCATGATTTAGACTTGGGGGTTCAAAGATTTGCTGAAAAAGCTGTCAAAACTAAAAGACCAAGAACTGTTTCAAACCATTAAAACTTAGTGTTTTTTACTAATGTTGTGTACTTTTGCAAGTTTAACTCCTTTAATAAAGTTCCTGTTTCTTTCTCCATTACTCTCATCTTCATGGCCATCCAATCCAGAGCAAACTCATAGCTGGCAAGATCATTCCTGCCATCGCCACTACCACAGCTGCAGTTGTGGGCTTGGTGTGCCTGGAGCTCTTCAAGATTGTCCAAGGACACAAGAAACTGGAGTCATACAAGAATGGCTTCATGAACTTGGCCTTGCCTTTCTTTGCCTTCTCTGAGCCTATTGCTGCTCCCAAACACAAGGTAGGCACCTGCTTGTTTTGAGCTGTTTAGATGTTGAACTACGTCCCCCATTGCTGTTGTGTTCTCCCCAGAAGGCCATGTGTATATTTGTTAGAGGTTGAGAGCTCCAATGATGATTCAGCCATGCTAATACTGATGCATCAGACAGATGCATGCCATCTGGCTGGGTGTGTGTGAGTTCAACTCAACTTCTCATGCTGATGGGATCAGTGTGTGCTGAGGAGAATAATCTTGGGTAGAGAAGTGCCTTTTTTTTGTGACTTGTATCTTGGTTCTGCTCATTAACAGAATGATAATTCATTGGTGGTGTCTGATGAAAATGTGATATTTTTCTGTATGACTGAAATGAACATCTCATTGTCACTCCATTATTTTTGCAGTACTATGAAAATGACTGGACGTTGTGGGACCGCTTTGAGGTCACAGGTCTGCAGCCCAGTGGGGAGGAGATGACACTCCGACAGTTCTTGGACTACTTCAAAGTACGTTCTGATTAACCCATCTCTTTAGTTTGCCATCATGTGGATTCTATTTTATAATCTTAAAATTAACACCCCCACCCCATTCATTGTCAGAATGAGCACAAGTTGGAGATCACCATGCTTTCTCAGGGAGTGTCCATGCTCTATTCCTTCTTCATGTCTGCCGCCAAGCTCAAAGAGAGACTGGACCTGCCGTGAGTATATCCTTCACATGCACATACCCATTTGCCTGAGACACAAACTTTGAGTGTTTGGTTTACTCATAGGCTTCTGTGTCTTGTAGGATGACGGAGATTGTGACTAAGGTGTCCAAAAAGAAGCTGGGCAAGCATGTGAAAGCCCTGGTGTTTGAACTATGCTGTAACGACTTGTCAGATGAAGATGTGGAAGTGCCCTATGTCAGATACACCATCCGCTGAGCTCCACACTCATCCCACTCACAGGAGGGTGGTCTAACTGAGGAGCTGAGGTGGGGATTGGGGTGGGTGGGGTGATCTAGGTGAGCTTTATTGGATCAATCTTTTGTTTTTTTTTTTGTTTTTTTTTAAAGGCCTATGGTTTGTTTAAACCTGTGCCTGAGTGTACATAGCCCAAGTAAGCTGACTCAAGGATACCCTTGTGTGTATGTGTGTGTGTGTGAGGGATCCGGTTAGTTCTTGGCTGGTGGAACATTGGAACAGCAGTCATTGGAGAAAGGGAACATGTATACTGGAACTCCTGATGTCTCTCAGTAGCAGAACGTCGTCACTCAGTATAATTTTAAGCATTAGTGTTCTCCTGATACTCCATAGCCCAACTAGTGCCCCTCTAAAACATCCTCCCAATCTACCAGCCTTCAGCACTGGAGGAATATTTTAATGTGGGCCCCCCCCACTTTTTCTGTTTGCTCCTCCAGCACCTCATGTAAACCTAGACCTACATTTTTTTGTTCAGCAACTGATTAAGTTAAATAAGTTCCTAAAATAGTGATACATGTTGAATATCTTTTTTGCCCCCCAAGGCCATATCATTGCCCTTGATTCCACCTGAGACCCCAAATTTGAAACTATAAAGCACCCAAGGACAGACCCTCCTGACTGGAGATAAATTTCACAAACATCACAAGTCCTTGCCAGTTTGAGGCACCCCTGCATCCACCTCATTCAGCACTCTGGATTTGGAGGAGCTCTTGCACATCTGGGGGGGAGAGGGTGAATAAAACATTGGTGCATACCTTGTAAGTCTGTCTTTTTACTTTAACTCCAAATGACATTACAGTGTAAGAGCAAGGCAATGTATCTTGAAGTGGGAGCACTTAGTGTGATAGTAAATAAACATGTAAAAACAAACGAGTGTGTGTGATTTAGTTATAAAATTTTGTCTTAACATCTGATTAACTGTTATTTCTGGTTTGTTTGAATAAGAATTTGAATGTGTTGGTTTTCCTTTCTGACCTGCTTCAGGCTGTTTTTCATCAGAAGTTTCATTATAGTGCATGTCCGGGAAGCGCAGCCTTTATCAGCTCAACGCCTTCCTGTCAACTTAGAATGAAAAACAAAAGTCAGTTTTTTTTTTTTTTTTTTTTTTTTATATGCAGAGACTGCATAAAATTGCAAAATGAAAAAATAAACTCCTGACTTGATTGCTGTAAGTGTACTTTATTTTAATTTTATTGTAAATACAAATTTACTCATCTGATCACTTTTAGCATGTTCAGTCAACACCTATGGTCTGCAAAGTCATAACGTTTGATAATCCAGGTGACCAGTTTTGAGTTAGAAGTTAGTTTTAAACCCTCCTCCCTGAGAAGAGCGGATACATGCGTCTGTGCAGCTCTAAAGGATGTGGTCGGCTGTGAGATGAGGAAGAGAGTGAGGAGGAAGAAGTGTACTGAACTCTGGTGAGCTCCCTGCTAAACTCATGCTGTACTACTAACACCGAAAAGACTGGTGTAAATTTGGATTATTTCAATGTTTCTCATCTTGAGAATGTGTCACATCTCTGTGATGATGCACTGAAGACAAATTAAAGATGGAAGTGGAGGAGGCTGGTGAAACGAGGACTTCCTGGTATGGAACTTTTTTCTTTTTAATTGGTTATCTTTTTGCCTTGGTGTGCAGCACACACTAGATTATAGGAGAAACTGACCAGGATCAACGGTTAACATAGTCCACTTTAAATATATTTCCATATGTAGAGGCTATGAATGGTATTTGAGGTTGTCACATACCTGGTAACAAAACCTAATCATCTTACTGCTCGGTGTTTATTAAAAAAAAAAAAAGGAACAAAACTAACAGTTTGTCATCTGGGCATGGTACAACAATCCCATTCAGCTGCTTATAGTTGGCGTGTGGGGGCTTATCCCCCTTCAAGTGAAGTACCATACATGTGTTTGCCTTGCGCTTGCTAACAGTGTTGCCCTTTGTAGGTCTGCTGTGCCAGGAGAGACTTATTCCATCCTCTGTGACCATGCTGGGGTAAGTCACACAATTCACCTTATGTTTAAAACCTATCTGGACCCTTTTCCAAGTAAAAACTAAAACTCATTTTCACATCTATTTCTGCCTTTAGAAGAAGAGAAAACAAGATCCAGTTCATGAACCTGTCCCCAGAATCATAGAGGTGAATTACATCTTACATAAAGCTTTCCATCTTTATGTCTCGCAGTCTAACTAGCGGAAGTTAGTCAACTTTACCTTTTTGACCACAGTGATGAGTGTGGTGTTGTTTAGCTGTGCAGCCACAAAAACTCACTGAATGCACGGGCTGTTTAATTTTGTTAACACCACGTCTTATCAAATTTCAGCCACTGTGATTTTACACTTTTAAAGTTTTCCTGTAATATTTATCTTGTCTATTATCATGCACATGCATTTTTTTGGCTGGTGTTTGAATACATATCTCTGCTGTTACACTGAAATTACAGCTGATGTGGTTAAGGTGATAAAACAGGCAGACATCTTGTATTTTACTACAGAGGCACAGTTTCAACCTTCTTCCTCTTTGAAATAGTCACACAGGAAATGAGAGTTCTGCACCATGCAACTTCTCAGCCCTTTTGACATCTCCCTCTTTCCACCTTCCTGACCTCCCCTGTGTCTTCCTCAAGTTCACTTCTGATTTATACTTTATCTTAACTGTTTTGTCAGAATGATGAAGAAGAGGAAGAAGGTGAAATATCAGACCACATAAAGGATTCAGAGGTGAGATGTTCCTCTTTTGCAGCTGCCAGGTTTTCTAACGTGCATCCAGCAGTGCTTTGTTGAATGACCCATCCTGATAAACGTGTGGAGCATTTTTACACATATCACAGCTGGATTTGTAAGTTTTAATGTCAGTCTCATTGTAGGAGCCCAGTAATAAAAGGGTCAAACCTGTGACAAAGTCCAACAGCCTAACAGGTGTCATAACCCCAGTGAAGACCCCTGCTCTGAAACGCATTGGCCAGTCCATTTCGGTAAGAGCGCACAAAACACATGTTCCTGGTGTAATACAGTATGAAGAGCTGTGACATTGCCTGTAGATGTTCAGCTCCTCTGCTTGTTTCACAGCGGTCTATTAGTTTTCGCACAGAGGCTCGACCTTTGCCCCTGGCTCCCCTGCGCTCTCGCCCAAAGGCCTCATCATTTCCACGCCGACGCAGCAGTCAGTGCTGGAGTGACACTGTGGAAAGTCATGACCTTACTGCAAAGGAAATCAAACGTCAAGAGGTGTGTGGGGGATGCAGGGTGAATTTAGCTCAGCGGCAGAAACTAAACTTTCTGCTGCTGGTTTTTTTATGTTATAGCTTGGTTTTTTTTTATTTTTTTTTTATTTTTATGAGGGCGAGTGGGTAAAGCTGTGGGGGTGGGGTGACTTGTGCCTACTCTTCATTTCTGTAACGCAGCTCTACAAGGTGATTATGAAAGAGGATGTGAGCTGGCAGTGTAGGCTCAACTTCCTTTATTGAACAGTCAGCTGTGAGATCTCTGTGTGTTTGACATTTTTTGCAAGTGTGCATCTGCATGAGTGAATTTTGCATGTGTGGTCACATCCACGTGTTGGTGGTCTAATTATTTGGTTGAAAATGTTGAACACTTTTGCCTCTTCCTGTAGGTGATCTATGAGCTGACTCAGGGAGAGAGGCAACTTATTGACGACCTGGAACTAGTTAAGAAGGTACTTGCCTACCAAATCGCACCAGCTGAATAGAACACGTTGAATATATTTGTCTATTGTAACCAGTCATACAGATTGTCACACTTTGATACTCTTCTTTCTCTACCTCATTTGTTTCTCTCCTCACCTTTGTCTCCTGCTCCGTTTGTCCTGCTAGGTGTACTATGAGCCCATGCTGAAGCTGGACATCATGACGGAGAGTGAGCTTGGCCACATCTTTGGTACTCTGGACTCTCTCATTCCTCTCCATAAGGGTAAATCTTTGCCGACTTCTACTAGAGTCATATTATCTTTTTGTTGTTATAGAATTTCATCCAAACTGATGAATCTAAGCAAACTGCTAGAGTTAAACATGCCAATTAATAAACACTTAAAAACCTTGTATTGACTTAACTACATTGTTGTAGTAGTAGTAGTAGTTAAATGTTTAATGTACAACTTATAAAAGCTTGATAGTGGGGTATACATAAGTTATTTAATGGGGTAATAATGGAACACAATCTCATTGAATATTAACTATGGAAAACAATCTTGTATCTAGTATTATAATGTAAAATTTAATATTGCCCAGCTCCAAATGTAAATGTGTAAAACCACAAAAAAGGAGAGTGTTCATTCTCTCTTATGGTTATAACTGGTTTAATGGCTTTTTAACTGTAGGGAGTTGGATGAGTTTAGTGCAATTGTGTTTATCTTTTTTTTTGTACTGTAATCACATTGGAAGTTAGTCAGAAAATCTCAATAAGAAGTCAACAGTTCTGGTGTTCTGTTTTTATTTCCTGTTAGATCTTCTGAGGCGTCTGGAGCGCCTGAAAGGATCGGAGAAGACAGTTGGAGAGGTGGGGCCTACGCTCATGAATTGGGTAAGAAGAACCGAAACGGCACAACTCACCTTCACTCTCTCTTTAGTTCCTCTCTAGTTCTCTGTTATGTTCCTGTCTAAATCAGTCACAGAGTTCAACCTGTGTACATCTCTGCTCTTATCTGACATCAGATTTTAATACCTCATTGCTCCTTTTGTCCTCCCCTCGTCCTCTCTCCAGTTCCCTTGCCTGGAGGCCTATGTTACATACTGCTGTAACCAGGTGAGGGCCAAAGCCCTGCTGGACCAGAAAAAGCATGAAAAAAGAGTGGAACACTTCCTGCGCCTGTGTCAGGAGTCTTCATTCAGCAGAAAACTGGACCTGTGGAATTTCCTAGATCTTCCTCGAAGTCGTTTGGTCAAATACCCGTTGTTGTTGAAAGAGATACAGAAGTGCACACCTCCTGAGCACCCTGATGAGGACACATTACCTGATGCTGTGAGTTAATGTCTTACACATTCACACATGTGAGGGCACTGAGATTCAAGGGGATAAAATGTACAAGACAGAGTCCACTTGTTCTCATTGCAATAACAAATGCTACATATCCACACTGGTAGTTTATGCAAGATGTGTTCAGATACTGCTGCTTTACACTATGGGCAGTAACATTTGTCTGTCTGACTCTGTAGATTATAGTACGCAATCCAAATCTATGCATGCAAAATATCAAATGTCATTTATGTTTAGTAGGTAGTGACTAAACAGAGTGGCATCCCCACTGTCCTGTAGTACGAGTATAGATATTTAGTATGTCTATAGTATCTGACATAGTATACATTTGCCACATTTGGATTGAACTGATATTTCCTTTTTAAATCTACACTACTTTGCACATTGGTGCCTCCAAATGGCAGGAGTTAATCATTTTATGAACCATGAACTTCACTAGGCAGTTATCCTGTGTTGTGTGTACTGAATTTTCATTTTAACTCTACAGGGTTTCCATTGGTGGGAAGTAGGTGTGGGGTTTCTTGGTTACCAAAATAAGACATAATTACAAAGAATGTGTAAAACTTTGTTCTACTTAGTTGGAGATAATCCAGAGCATCGTGGCAGAGGTGAACAAGAAGACGGGGGAGGCTGAGTGTCAGTTTTACAAGCAGCGTCTTGCCTTCCTCGAAGATTGCCAGGAATTACCAGAGATCCAGCAGTCCCGCTTCCTCTACTGTCACGGAGAGCTGAAGAACAACAAGGGCCAGGTAGCGGCTCACTGTTGCTGTTTAGTTCTACTAAAGTTGCATTAGCAGAACTAAGTGTAGAGTGGTTCTCCTGGGGTTGTTTCATTCATTTGCGTCTCAACTGAAGAAGGTCAGATGCTTTAAGACAGGGTCTTTTCATCTGTTTGCAGTCTTTTGCTCCTCTGCCTCAGGGTAGATTTTAATCTTGGGCCCCTCAAAGCATTACTTTATACAGTATTTTGAAAGGGTTCTCTGTATCATTTCCTTGGTACTGCAATCATAATGCATCATATTCCTATATGTAATGTATAAAAACACACATTTTTTTACATTGCCATCCAAGGTGTGATATCTAAATAATAGGTACTTTTCAATTTTGTTATAAAGCCATTTGTTTTGTGTGTGTCTCTCTCCTCTCTCAGCGGCTGCACGTTTTCCTCTTTGAGCTGGCACTGGTGCTGACCAGACCAGGGGAGGACAGAGATGGAGGTCAGGTGTTCAATGTGTACAGACAGCCCCTCCCCAATGCCTTGATAAATCTGGAGGAGATCCCGGATGGAGAGACTGGTGGAGGGAGCACTTTCAGAGGAGCCTTCACTGGGGGAAATGATAAAGGTACATATACATGCAATACAGTGTACTGTATATAAATGTGGTATTAGTTGATAAAGTGGTGTAGGGCTGCAACTAATGATTTTCAATATAATCTGTTGTATAAAACATGAATAAGTAATTGTGAAAATGCTAAACAAATCACAAAATTTTAGGAGCTTAAGATAATGTCAAATTTTGTTTGAACAACAGTCCAAAACTTCAAATATCCCATTCATGATTTAAAAGAGAGACGCACAAATTTAGTGATGAATAATGTTGTGATGATTGTTTCAGCACTACAGCAATGTATACATACTGTACTTTCTTATGGCACATACGACCTGTGCTTGTTTTTCAGGTTTATTTACACCTTTTGTTTGTTTGCTAGTGAAGTGAGGGATAAACGAGTTATAGACTGCAACTAAACCCACAGTTAAAGAAAAAGCCAGGCCTTGAGGGGCCCCAGCAGCTGAAGTGAATCTTACAGCTTCCACTGAATTTCCTTCCTCCCCTTCTCTCTCTCTCTCCCCCTCCCTCCCTCTCCATTTCCTAGTGAAGAACTGTTTCCGCGTGAGCAGCAGAGGGCGCTCCAAAGCTCACCCATACAGCCTGCAGGCTAATGACTCCTTCAGCAAGCAGCAGTGGATCACCTGCCTGCGCCAAGCAATCATCCAGTCACGAGATAGAACTGCTCAGACCAGCCAGCCGCACCTCTCCTCTCACCCTGATCCCTCCCTGTGTCATATAGCTGAGCTCAGCCTCAGCTCAGACACAGAAATGGCAGACCATACCAGTCGCTGACTGTTAGACTGATTATCCGGAGGCCTGCAGAGTCTCCATAGATCTGTACATTGACACTGGAGAAAAACATTTTGTGGGAGATGAATGTTTGTAGACACACACATTTGAATTCCTACATGGATCTTTTTTTTTTCTTGCTTTTTATGTTGCATTGTGTGATTGTGGTGATGTGAACTGTAAAGCTTGGGAGCAGTGTTATTGAATGTAAATTCACCATGTCGAATGTTTTTTGTTATACTTGTTTTTTTGTCTATTTCTTAATAAACTGACAAATGTTTATTGAGATACTCATGGAAAACTACACAAAGACAAGTCTAAGTATAGCTAGCAAGATCCGCAGAGAAAAGATTAGGGATGGTTATCCTCCCTCACTCCTTCTTTATCCCTCTCTGACACCGATGGTAGGGCAAGGGAGAGAGGTAGACATTCAGTTCTAGCCTACAGCCACAGTGAAACAGTAGACATCCCCTTATGCATTTTTAACAGCTCAGCGGGTGATGGGAACAGTTTGGTTGGGACAGTTTGTCCACAGATAGTGTGACAGTGATCAGGTGAGTCCACACTGCCCTGTTTATTTGCTAATGCTACATTATTTTGTCAAACATTATTTGTAAGCTAATTTTGTTGGCAAGATTTTATCTTTTACCTGCCTTAGATGGCTATGAGAAAGTAGGTTTGGCCTTGAAATAATCCTAAAGCTTTCTCTGATTTTGAGATTGGTGTAATGTTTTATGGCTTATATACGTTCAGCCCAGGTGTGCGGTTCAGTGAACACTTGAGGTCTCCATAAATTATTTGTTTTTAACAATGTGCCCTGAAGCTCATGGATGATTCACTGAGGTCATTACAAGACCTTGACTCTCCATGCTGTGATTATGAGAGAGAATTGCAAGACAGCATGGATCAACTTGATCTATTCAAGAGCAGGATTTACCTCGAGAAACTCATCCTGTTCTTTCCCCCCCCCCACAGCTGTGAATGACATCCCTCTTCATTCTCCTGGAAAGAAAGGATATACTCTATCCTACTTCATTAACTAATAAAGGGGACTCTGTCTCAGACGATGCATCTACTATCACTAAATCCTGCTCACCTTTGAACTTGTGTGTGAAAAAAACGAGGTGCTACATCTTACTTTCTTCTTTGGTAAACCCTTGTATCTGTCTCATGATCCCTTTTGGAGGTTTACCAATAAAACAGGATGCCTGGAGTCAATGGCGTCAACTTGGAGGGGTCTTGTGAGGCCTTGTGTCGAACCCTGGTCTCTCACGACAGCCTTCAGAGAGAGACAGCTGACATCTCCCAGTCTGTCCTCTACACTTCACTGATGGGCCTGCTTCTGGTCGCTGACAATGAGGTGTGCACAACACAGCATAAACCTTTATTTTATGCTGTTAGTTCTGTTTTTAATGTGTAATTTATGGGATACTAATGAGACAAACCAAATAATGAAATCGTGCAGAGGAATTAATGGAGACTACACGTTAACCCACGTGTTTAAGCACCTGTCAGCACTCTTTGGTCTCTAATAGGATGAATCTGTGAGGCCAACCTTCTTTTAGCTTCTCCTGTTATGCTAATTAGATAAGAAGGCTAAATCTGTCCTACTAATGCTATTCACACTGCCATGCTGCCAGGGTATACACACTGTTGGTGTTAAGGCAGACAAACTGTAACATGACATACGGACACAACCAGGAGTCAAGCAGTAGCACGCGTGCAGTGACGTGCATGTGTTTGTTTCAGACAAACGTATAGCTATATACTGTATTTGTGTATATAACAGGTTTGCCGTCCTGGATGATGGTATCCTGTGTTTTTTTATTTTTTCAGAAAGCGCAGATCACCATAGGGAGTGGAAGAGTTGGACTTAGAAACACAGGAAACACAGTACGTTTTTAATGGTGCAAAACAGAAATACCAGAATAATTTGTTACATACTCACTTTTTCCTTTACGTTTTCTACAACATAGTGTTTCCTGAATGCAGTAGTGCAGTGTTTGTCTCACACATGTGGACTACGGGACTACTGCCTCCTCAGGTCCTACAGGCATGAGAAATTCTCCAAAGAGGATGCCAAGCTCATGGAAGGTACGTTCCTCTCTCCTGATGTCGTCTACTCTCCACATCCCTCGATGCATATAATGGTTTGTGCCATTTTCTCACCTCGCCTTGCTGTCCTGTACCAGCATTCTCTCAGGTGCTGTTGGACCTTTGGGATGTGAGTGAGCGAGACACTGCAGTTAATCCACGGCACTTTTACAATATTTTTAAAGAAGCAGTGCCTCACTTCAGTGGTTACAGGTGAGGATGTCAACAATGTTTTCCTTTTTCTCAGGGTTAACTGCATCTGTTCGAGAGACTTTTGTGCACATAACACTACTGTCCCACAAATGCAAACTGCTGTGTCTATTGGACACTATTAAACATGTAAATGCTGTCAAGCATTATGCAATTCAATCCACTTCTGAAACAAAACAGTTTCAAGGACAAGAAGAACACTGTGAGCTTTTTCAGTCAATAATAGAATTAAACGTGCCAAAGAATAGGAGAACATTCATAGGGAAGCTTAGTATACAAGTTAAATGATATTTACCCATTGTTTGGACCCAAAGAGGGGATGTCAGGCCATGCCATCATAAATCTTCAGAGCCCCACAATAATCAGTTAATTATTTTCTACCAGCAGAGGTACTGTTTTTTGGTTTTATAGGTAAGACTTGTGAAGATGCTGGCTGTAGCAGTGACATTAAGAAATCTGTCTTTGTCTTACCCAGTCAACAGGATGCTCAGGAGTTTCTCAGGTTCCTGTTGGACAAGCTGCACACAGAAATCAACCGCAAACCCTACATTCAACGAACAGGGAAGCAACCTGAACAAAACAATGCCACATTTAGGTGTGTGTGTGTGTGTTTATGTGGAAAAGATTCTTTCATTGAAATTTGAATGCTCTTAAAGTTTTTGTTTTGTTCTCTCATTTTCCCACATCTTATCCTGCCTTAGACTTTCAGAAGAGGCATCTGCCATGTGGAAGAAGCACTTGGACAGAGATGACAGCAGAATAGTAGGTGAGGAAAGCAATCCAGTCCTAGTCATCCATCAGCCTCATGTACAACATAAGAGCAATGTGGGGGGGACCATTGATATGTCTTACTACTTGCTAACCATTTGACTCTGGTGACAGACCTGTTCTCAGGCCAGCTGCGGAGCTCGCTGCATTGCTCTATGTGCTCCCACTACTCCAACACATTCGATGTGTTCTGTGATCTGTCGCTGCCCATCCCTAAGAGGAGCTATGCAGGGGAGGTCACACTGAGTGAGTGTCTGGACCTCTTTTCTCAGGAGGAGAAACTGGACAAGGAGAATTCACCAGTAAGTGAACTGAGAGAATGCAACAACAATGGTTTTACTATACATAAATTTGTTTTTATCTTTATAGTCAAAGGGCAGTGACATTGGTAGTGTAAGTGAGGAAAGGTTTAGTCCAAAATAGAATTTTGCATCCACTCATAGCCTAAAGTTGGGGGTTGTCTTTTATCTTTCATAAAAGATAAAATTGTGTTTTAGATGTGTGAGAGGTGTAACAGGCACACAGAATGCACCAAGAGGCTATCAATCCAAAGGTTTCCTCAGGTCATTGTGATCCGTATCCTTGGCAACATCTCTTACTTACTGTATTAACCTTAGCAAGCAGTGTTTATGTACAGGAAGTTATGGTGATGCTTAACTAATTCCATTCAGATCTGAATCGTTTTACGACATCACGGTGGTCTATCAGTAAAAGCACAGCATACGTTTCCTTCCCACTCACTAACCTGGACCTTGGACCCTACGGACCTGTCGACTGTGGTAACACTACCTACCTTATCTCTGTTTATTCTTGTGCATGTCACATTTATTCCTCAAACTATGCATTATCTTGTTTTATGTCCATTAGTCAACAGTCTGTTATAGTGTGGTTTATACAGTGAAAGGCTGAAATAATACAATATGCAGATGAAGCTTAAAAAAAAGAAAAATAGATAGAATATACTGTATCTATATTTTAAGTCTTATTTCACATTTAATTTGAAATTGACAGTTGTGCTAAACAATAGATGTCAGGAGAAAGGTTTTTAGTAAATCTAATAAACCATGGATATTATGAAATCATGGCAAGATGTTTATATGTAGTTAGTTTATAACATGTCAAAATTGTAACAATGTGCCTGCTTTATGATATGAAAATATTACAATCAGTTGCATGTTGACTGACTGATTAAATAATCAGCCAATTGAAAAACAATGGCATATTGGCATATAATCAGTAGCTCATGTGTTATTAGGTATTTTTTGCATCTTTGTTATTTTGACAGATAAGGACTTTCTCATTAGGCAGATTATTTCATAGTTTGTAAACTTGGATCACAGATGCGAAGAAGAGCAGAATAAGTCAGTCATTCTATTGATTTGTTTCCCCTAAGGCCCGGTTTTGTATGATCTATATGCGATATGTAACCATGCTGGGACAGTGAACACGGGCCACTACACAGCCTGCTGTTTAGATGAAAATGGTTGGTGCTTCTACAATGATTCCAGGTGAGACTTGCCTTGTGCCCTGATCATTTTAATATATAGTGCCTGGCCAACTGCATGTCATAGGCAGTATTTAAAAGCCTACTGTATCTGTGTGCCATCTGTTTTGAGACACCTCCTACAGTATACAAGTCTCTGCCCCTGTTTCTCATGTTTATTCTCCATCTATTCGCTTACAGTGTGACTCAAGTCTCAGAGAACCAGCTTCAGACCAATCAAGCCTATGTGCTGTTCTACCAGCGCAGCAACAGCACAGCCACTGTCAGGAAATAGACCTCAGATTGGCTGAGTCAGGCAGCCAATCAGAGCAACTTTACCTCCAGTGCCCATAGAAACCCTTGACTGTATAATAGAAACAAGTAGAAGCATCAGTGCTTTAAAATTGATGTGTAGGAACCTCTCAAATTTCATTATGCATGCCCTCAAACTTTGAGAAGGACACAGGAGCTGTGTTCATTTTAAGGGGGATTCTAAACAGTCATCTCCCCTTCTGCTTTTGAGTGAGAGAGCTGAGATAGCTCAGGCAGAATATTGTCATAAGAGTCTTAAGACTGTCCTAGTTCTTAGGCAGGAGTGAGTGAACACTCTACACAGATAATTGTGATTCATGCTTGTTAACATAAACCCAAAATAATTCCATCTATTTCTATTCCATCTCGGATGGAATAGAAAGTAGGACTTTGTTGTGACTTGTTCAAATTCCTTGTCTACATTCTAAGCCACAATTTTGTGGACATGTACTGTACTTCTTTGATTTAATATGTAAATATCTATGCTGTTTTTTTTATTTATTTTAGATTTCTTCTACATGGACAGGTAACCCTGAAACTTTAAAATATTGAAATGGGCTATGTTTTCCCTCTACATTGAACATTGGCCTATACCTATGTGACTTACTCTGTCTCCATGACAACAAACAAATAACAATAAGCCTTTTACCAAAACACGCACTCATTCATGGCTCTTACAATAAATAAAACTACCAATATGCTGCATAAAAAATAACAATAATCATATTCCCTTACATGTAAAAGTTCAGCTTACTTGAAGTAAATAAAAGCCTACTTGTTTATATTTATGTAAAATAAAGAAAGATGTAAATATTAATCTCAAAATAAATTGTTAAATGTCAAATAAATATAGAGTAAAAACTGTTTTAACTGTTTTGTTTTAAAACTGTTTCACTGTAATTGTCACATAATAAATAGACAGGATTTGTTTAATAATAAAATATAATGTTCCTTGCAATTTTATCCATGAACAGCCCAAACCAGACTGTTTTATTTAGGACAGGTTGAGGTCTCAGGTAGTCTAATAAACTCAGTTGAGTGGCATTTGTTTCCAGTGTGTCTTTTTATATCCGTATCCTATTTTATTGTTGTTTGTATCACATCACGTGTAGGCCATTTTGTGAATCTGATCTTGTAGTTAACAACCCCAGATGTTTCTCTCGGGTAGCTTTGCTATAGGTCTACTTGTTCCAGTGTCCAACAGCTGGTTGCTCTGTCAGCTAGCGAATGACTCTTTACGCGCATGCGTACGAACAGTAGGCGGAGTTTTCCAGTCGGTCAGGAAGAGGAGAAAGGCGGACACAGAAGCATCAAGCGGTAAAACTTGTTTAGTGACAACTTATGCACTTTAAACCTAGAACGTTTTGTTTCAGTCATAGGGGCATTATGATAGTTTAGTGAATTATGTAGCTATAGTTTCAGAGAGAATACACTGAATGACAGTTATCCAAACCATGGGAAACATCGTTAGCTTTCTGCTATCTCCGGTTAGCTAGCTGGTTTGACAGGTCCGGACTACACTGCACAGCCTTACAGCATAATTGTGGGCACGGTACTGAGATATTATCTTTACACACTATACCACCAGAGGCAGGCTCTTTGTTTGCCATCCTGACATTTTGGTCGCACCTCAGGATATTTGTAATTAAACTCGTAATATATGATGAGACCGGTCTGCTAGCGTTATAAACATTGTCTGAGCATTTACTTCTGCTAATCAAGAGGAACTATTGGAACATAGCAAGTATTATAATAATTGCACCTTAGACAACACAAAGTTTGAAAATCTGACTCACTATGTTTGTACCTGAATACACAATTGATAATATTTGAGTGCATAGAGAGTACTGAGGTTGACGACCTAACTGTAATCTTAGTTTGGACTCCCCCCATGTAGATGGATGCTATCAGGAAGAAGATGGTAATAGTTGGAGATGGTGCATGTGGGAAGACCTGTCTGCTCACTGTCTTCGTTAAAGACCAGTTTCCAGAAGTCTATATCCCCACTGTGTTTGAGAGCTATGTAGCAGACATTGAAGTGGATGGGAAACAGGTGAGATGCTATAAAACGCAAGCTGTAAACTAGGGTCTGGGAATCTGGGGAATCCTTAAAGAAATGATTTGAGAGCCTAGCAAAATGAGTAATTTTGTTGCCTGAATTTACAGTGAAAGCATTCCGGACTTAATTATAGAGCTTAAATGCTCAAATGTTTTTACACTGATATTACTTCAAACCTTTCATTTTATCCATGCATCTCTCCATTAGTGTACTGTAACTTGTTTCTCTTTTCTCAGGTAGAACTAGCACTTTGGGATACTGCGGGTCAGGAAGACTATGACAGACTGAGGCCTCTGTCCTACCCTAACACTGATGTTATCCTCATGTGCTTCTCTGTAGACAATCCTGACAGTTTAGGTAGTGTGATTGCAACATTCAAGGAACTCTGTATTGAACACTTTATAACAGTGAAATTGATATATTGCTATGTTATATATACTGCACTCCTTCTTTTTACTCACTGTAGAGAATATTCCAGAAAAGTGGACTCCTGAATTGAAAAACTTTTGTCCAAATGTTCCCATCGTCCTGGTGGGCAATAAAAAAGATCTGCGCAATGATGACCACACGAGACGAGAGCTTGCAAAAATAACACAGGTCGGCATTTTTAAAATAAAAAAAATGCTGATATGGGTGTATTTGTCTGTATAAATGTCAAAACTTAAATGTTCACTATGACATGTCTCCAGAAGCCAGTTAGATATGAAGATGGCAAAGAAATGGCTAACCGCATCAGTGCCTACGGTTACCAAGAGTGTTCTGCCAAAACCAAAGATGGTGTGAGGAAGGTCTTTGAGATGGTAACTAGGGCAGCACTACAGGCCAAAAAATGTGGCAAGAAGTCCACCTGCCTTCTTTTATAGGCTCTGAGAGAAGAACGGACCTGCCTTACAGATGGAGAAGCCAGCTTCCATTGAGATTTGACATTGGGGAGAATATTTGGCAGGGCCCAGAAAAGTTCTGGCAGTGCTCAATTTCTGATTTCCCCAACACAGTAAATCAAGTCTGAAATGATCTTCTTCTGCATCTTGGTCCTTGGTCTATACAATATGTGGTGGTGTTCAATGTGCTATTTGTCTCATGTCGAACAGAAATCTGTAAGGCCGGTGGTGGGAAGTGATTTGAAGTTGCGTTGATATAAACTGGTTGTAATGTGCCATGACAGGAAGGAAGAGAGAGAGAGAGGTCCTTACCAGGCCAAAGATAATGGGGATATAAGAGAGCAAGACATTATATAAAATAGGTTTGAATTAAGACCATGTGTATGTGGATTTTATACAGTATCGCCTACATGTAGTGCCTTGAGAGCACTGGTCAAGAAGACGATGGTTGTATAGTGATGGCAATTTTGAATCTTCAAAAAACTTGATACATTTGATAGAACTAGTGTTTTATAATGTTTTGAGACCTTTCGAACCATTGGCTGTGCACAGCCTGTTGGCCAAAAAGCTGAACTGCAACTGTAGCAGAAACGGAATAAAACATCGCTGCAGTGGTCATGTAACGATGTTTCGAAACGGTATCATAAACCTGCCTTAAAATTGGACGTCATCAAATGGCTTCAAAACGGGTTGATCCTGGGTGTTGAAATTTGCCATCTCTAGATTCATAAGTTAGATGGGGTGTTATTTTGTTATTTGTAGTGCTCACACTTTACCTTTATGAACGCTTTCTCCCTGCCATTGGCTTGGCTCCTTCAGGCCCATATTCTGACTCAGGCACTATGCAGACGCATACCTAAACTAGATTGTATGAGATATTTTCCCATACTGAATTACTTAAGCTTGCTTGCTTATCTGAATTTAAGAGGGTGCGTATGAGTGTACAGGTGCATGTTATCTTTTCTCCAATGCAGGTCTGCATGCAGTGAATGTGTGTATATTTGTGTGGCTGTGTATTAACATATGTATCTATGTACTGTATGCATGAAAAGACCTGAATCACTGACCTAAACCCTTGTTTCCATGCCAAAGTTACCCCTGAAAGTCATGGTTTATTGCTCAGATGGGTAATGGAATTAACAGCTACTCAGTGTGACATAGAAACCGTTATTTACTGGAAGACATTGTACTATTGCTAGAGGCACAATCGGGTTAAACATATTTCGAGTTTTTAGGACCTTTTTTTTTGTGTGTATACCAGAGAGTGATTTGATTGTGTTAATCACTGGGTCAAATCTTAAGTGTTGTCATTGATAAGTTGATTCTTTCATATAGATAATAGGCTATCTTATTACTACAATGTCCATTATGTACTGTATGTCTTACAAGGCCTTGTAAGGACAGGTTAATGGTGTGTATTTCGAGTTAGCCTTTTTACTCCTACATCCTGCATTGAATGATATTGTTATTGTACTGTAACTTTTTATTGCTGTCTCTAATTTTCTTAGTATATTTTAACCATTTATTTCAGCTGTTCTGATCAGCTTATGTCAGTTAAATGATAACTTGTAATCATAGCATTGTTTCATGTAACTGAAGGTCAGGCTTGGGATGCAAAGAGGTTTTTGTGGTGAGCTGCAGGAGTGCCCCGCCCCACCCCACCACCCCCATTTTATTTTATTTTTAATTTTTTTTTGTACTGTGACAATTTCTGATGTCCCCCTTCCTCCCTCCAATAAAGATGGTATTAGGGTTTCTGTTGTAAGGTATGTGTTCTTTGATTCATTCACAATTGATTCCAACAATTTATCTATATTCCCAGCATTAAATTACATTTTTACCCAAGTAGAAACACTCATAACTAGTCTTAAATATTATTTCATAAGATAGCTGCAGAAGCGCATGCTCGTCTAGGGTTAGCCTGTTTGCTTTGTCCAATCATCGCCGACGTTAATGTTTTCGCTCTTCAAGCACCAATCAAACACCCGAGTCAAGTCTTGATCCCTCCCATATGAAAATGTATTTCACAGAGTGTGTTAAGCAAGAGAGTGGCGACAACTCGTTGACTTTATAAGTATAAGCTCCCCCTTCTTTTTTTTTTTTTTAACAATAATGGCGGATCAATGGAACGTCGAATAGTTCCAAACATTAGCAGCACCATAGAGTTACATTGACTTGGCTGCTATTTTCCAAAGTAAGAAGTTGAAATAAATGACAGTATTTATACTTGTAAAAACACGTTTTACAACCTTTTTGTGTATGTCTTAAATATTGTCAATTTAATAGAATAGGTGCCAACTAGTTAAATTAGCTGAGGTATCTACAACAACTGAACTCAGAATTAGTTCACCAGGATGTACTAGTCATTAAAAGTAGTAGTTACTGATGCATCTCGCTGTTCCTTACGATAAAAACCGCATCTTATTGGACTGCTTGACACTATTTGAAGCTACGCTAGTCACGTGACCTTCTGCCATTTTTGACCCCTCAATGTCGCAACTCTTCTAGCTTCACGGCTCTGGTGTTTCTGTGGCCATTTTACAGTTGGAGCCTCGAGAAAAACACCCTTCGCCTGGGCTTCAGCGTGATATTTAAAGAACAATTGTTGATTGCAAGTGACGTTGGTAAGTGCTTTTCCAGTTTATCATACAATTGTAGGTGTGTTTGCAACGGCTGACAGCCGTTTGGATACAGCGTCACGCAGCCTGGACTAACTAGCCACTGCATGCTAAAATAGCTAGCTTGTTTGTAGCGATGACCGCTACACGTCATTGTAAAATACTCTTGCTTTTTTTTTGCATAATGGTTGTTTACGTGCATTGCACGCACTCATTTCATGTGTATTAGTGGTGCGTGGTTATGCCTCTGTTTGTTTATTTTCTTGCTTTGGTTAAGTAAGCCGCGACAATAGATAATATTTTAAAGTTAGAGAAGTCTGTCGTATGTTACCACAGAATGCAGCTAAGCAGGTGATAGAATACACACCTTGCACATCACAATTTTGCATCCTGGGAGGCTTGTTAGGCGTCAGTGTTGGGTATGTGTATAGTTATTTTGACAAAATGTTCTCATTCAAAACTGTATGTCGCTGATGCGCTTCCAGGGCATCTAATGCTGTAAACAAATAGAAAGGATCCGAGACTTGGAGGAGAGTCCGTGGATCGGCATGGACTATGAGCGGAGGTGAGTTAACTCTTCGTTTTATGTATTTCCCCCTGATGAGTACATGTGTCAGACAAGTACCTTACATCCTCTTTCATGGTCAGCAGGGGTGGGCGAGGTGACCGTATAGGTCGCTATGGCAACACCTATAATGATAACACCTTTCGCGATATGGACTACCGAGGTTATGGCCAAGAGGATGAGGAGGCAGGAGCGGGATTTGAAGTCAGAACGGAGGGGGACGGACCATATGGCCATGACAAGCAGTTACTGGGTGTCCATGACTTCTCACCAGGTCGTCTCCAAGACCATCTGGGGTTCCACCACAGAGGAGATGGGCGAGGGGAAATTGGGCAGGAGGAGAAAGGGCCTCTGTGGACCCCTAGATCTCAGACACAGCCTGATCTAAATATTTCCAAACTCCAGAGAGAGGAGGAGGGAGCCAGGCGGGAGTTTGAGCAATTGCGGACTAGCCCACATGAAAGGGGTCGAGGGAAAGGTGGAAGAGGCTTCCCTGAGGATCGTATCCCTCATTCAGGGAATAGAGAGAGAAACTGGAGTCGTGGTGGTGTTCATTTGGAACAGACCGATTTCACTACGACAAGAGAGGAGGACAGGTTCTCTCGTGGGGCGGTGAAGAGGAGGGTGAGCAATAACAAATCCATCCTCTGTGTAGAGCTACTACAGTTTTATTTTGTTGTTAATTTGTTACTGTTCTATTCAGCCTTTTCCAGTGGGTTCAGAGGAGCATGCTTGTGGGAGTGTTGGTCCAGACCTATCCCTTGAGGAGCTGGATCAGAGGGACCAGGACTACCGTGCAGATTTAGACCACAATCAGAGGCCCAGTAACATCATCATGCTTCGCATGCTGCCACTTAATGCCACAGCCAATGAGGTAAGTGCATGTCTCTACAGTGGGCTGATGATGCATGGGTCTTGTTAGTAGGCATAAATATAAGTAATACTTTTTTGTCCATAGATTCGGGCACAACTTCAGGAGCAGGGGATCCAGCCAAGAGAGGTTCGCCTTATGAGGAACAAATCTTCAGGTGAGAACTTGTCCATAGACCTGGATTGATTTCTGTCCTCCCTTTGTTTCACACTTATCTGTTACCAACTCTTTCATATTCATTGCTCTTTCAGGTGACATCTTGTTATCTTCTCTCTCTTGTTAATACACATCTTCCCTATCTTTTTCCTCTCACTGTTGCGGTCTTTTTCATACTGTGACAGCAGGGTAGATAGCTGATGCAAAGAACTTATGCATATACTTACAGGAAGGCTCATGGTTAGATTCCTGCTTTGATTCTTTGGTCTGCTGGTTTCTGTAATCTTGCTACTACAGAAAGAACAACAAAGCATCCATGTGTCCATCAAAGGAGAGCACTATTCATATTTGCTTTTAAGAGAGGAATGCATGCAAACAGCCATAGTTTATAGGTCTTTACTTCATGGCTTTAATTTTCCTTCTTGCTTTGGCTCTTTTACTGTCTACCTTTTCATGATTCTACCTCATTCATTACAAAGTGAGGTATGTCTGAAGAGGTGGACATTGCTCACAAACTAACAATGTCAGCTGAGAAATAAGCAGCAGAAGAAGAATGTGCTTGATTGTGTTGGTGATTGTAGCCATTTTTGAGTGTGTGATTATTGTGGTTTAAGTGTTGTAACTACTTCTCAGCTGCGTGATTGTTATCAATACCAGTCAGAAAAGCTTTTTTTTTTTTTCCTGAAGCTTTTCCATTAAGGTCATTGTCTCACTGGCCTCCCCATTTGCTACCTCACTGGTTGTCTGTAAGGCATGCCTATCTGACTTGGGCGTACTTACAGTCCCCCACTGTGCTATTTTTCTTATTCTGCATCACTGTCAATGTCTTTAGGACATGTCGCGCTCAGTTTTAAATCTTTAAATGATGAACTGTAGGGATTACACTCATTGTGATACCACACACTGTGCTCTTTAATAAAGTGATCTGTCTAAATATGTTGTATCATGTTTTGTCAGTCAGTGTTTGGGCAGGATATGGAGCATTTAAGATGAGACATTCAGCCACAGCGCTACATACAGTAGTTCAGACTGCACTCTGAGTCTCAGAGTAGTAGAAATAGGTGTGTGTGTGTGTGTGTGTGCGCACTTGTGTGTCTATTCTGTTGGTGCCTGGGTGCTTCATCATTCAATGCCAAAGAGCTCCAACTGAAACTGATGAGTGGGTAGGATTCTTTCTCTCTCTCTCTCTCTCTCTCTCTCTCCCCCTCTCTCTCTCCCTCTCTTTCCTTGACCCTGCTGAGATACCTGACATTGCGTCCTCCCACCCTTGCAGAGAAGTTGACAGCAGCTGTCTAGCTGGCTGTCAAGTGTGTTGTTTCCAAGGGAGACAGGAAGCAATGGTTTACTTTATTAGTGCTGATACAGGGTCTCTTTCTCCTCTGTACATGAAGCACTAACCCCTCACTGCGTTGTTGTTGTTGTTGTTCGGTTACCATGGCGCTGGGCGGTGTCCAGGTCAGAGCCGAGGATTCGCCTTCGTCGAGTTTAATGTCATACAGGAGGCCACCCGCTGGATGGAGACCAACCAGGTCACTCTCCTCTACACAGACACACATACACATACATGCATACAATGGGACATATGGGTTAATAGCTGGACAAATGTACAGTCACATCATGTACACACGATACATTCCAGACACACATTGGAGAAATAACTTTTGTCCCTGAGGTAGGTAGGTCTTTATACTTTGA